ATTGTTATTGTATTATTTTTCATCTCGTATTTTCTCGAAAGTCAGAGAATTTTCACGAAATACTGGGAAAAAAAACACATTGGATCTAGAGTCCAGATTCTTAAAAACATCGACAAGAAAAAATACTCTTGATTCAATCAGATTTAAGCTTAAATCAAGAACTAAGCCTCTTCATTTGAGCGGATTTCCTTTTGATTTAAGCTTAAATCTGATTGAATCAAGAGTCCTTTTTCTTGTTAATGTTCTCAAGAGTCTGGACTCTAGATCCAATGTGTTTTTTTTTCCAGTGAATGATTTCATGAATACCACGAATCAACATTTCCTGCACAAACCCAACTGTCAATCGGTTTAGCTCAACTCAATCCGATCAGAATCGAAAACTCGCTTCAGTTGTACAACGATTGACAATCGATTGAAGATTCGACCTCGATCGATAAAAAACATCACTAAAATAGGGATCTATCGATCATTCGATCATCAAGTCGTTCGATAACGATTCAACAGTCGCATACGTAGCGTCGCGAGAAAGAGTTAAAATCTCGGTGAGCAAACGTCGCCCCTCACGGGTAAGAGGGCGGTTAACGGCGTGAATGATCGATTATCGATATTTCCTCTTTTGAAGCTATGATAAAAGATCGATTATTAAGGTGTTGGTTGGGAACTTCCTGTTTATCGATCCTTTTCCATAGGTTTAAATGGCAGATCAGTCGATTAATCGCAAAGCACGTCACGCCACCGGTGCAACAGGTGAGTCGGGCGCTCGTTCGTGCGCGAGGACCGGGAAGTAGCGTCGAAGTTATCAGTAGCGTGGCGTGAATTGCGATATATCGATTGTTATGTAATTTAAACCTATGGTAAAGAATCGATTATTAAGGTGTTCGCTGCGAACACCCTGTTTATCGATCCTTTTCCATAGGTTTGAATGGCATAACAATCGATACATCGCAATTCACGCCACGCCACTGGAAGTTATCCCAACGAGGTTTCAGGTGAAAAAGTTCGAGGTTCGGAGACACCGTGACTCGACATTGATAGCCCAAGTTGGTCGGAGCCGGAGCTTCCCGCGCGATAAGCCCGTCTGGAACTCGCAGTCGTAAAACCCTCAGTCGGTCGCCTGCCCTACCTGCCTGCCCTCCGAGCAACGGCAAATCCGCCAATCATTAATCTACCCCCGACATCCCATCCCAGATTTTCCTCCCTTTAATCTCCCTTTAAAACCGCCCCGAACCTCCGTTCACTCTTCATTTGCCGGGTGAATCTAGCCCCACCGCGCTGCAAATTATTCGGTTTCGCATTACTCCAACTTGCGGTTGAACTTATACACTACGAGAATCTCGGAGTTGCTGCCTATGTGGGGAGAGTTCGGACCAAAGAGATAACGAGATCATCAATTTGAATTGCGGGTCAAGGGGCATCGGGCACATGCTACTTTTACTAGTCGTCGTCTCTGATTGGCTGATCTGCCTGATGCCCTTTTTCTGGGAGCCCCTATGGAAATAACATGGGGCTCCTTTTTCATCCGAAATATCTCGAATATAAGGACTTTATTCGTCAGAGATTTCAGAAATATTTTCTCCAGATTTTTGCGAAGAGGTTGATGCTTAATACACAGGGTTGCACGGGTGAAATGAAAAATATGAAATATCGAAAATTTCCATGAAATTTCACAAAGTTGTGAAAAATATGTAACAAATTTTCAGTGGCTGGGTATGCAACACACACTACAAAACACCAAGAGGCGAAAATCAATCGCCTTTCTCTTAATTTTGCATTTAATGTCGAAAAATGTTTTTCATATTTTTCTGAAATTCCATGAAATATTTCACATGAAATTTCAAGATTTTATTTCTCATGAAAAATTGCAACCCTGGCTAATACCAACATGAAGTTTTTTTTTTTTTTTACAAAAACGCCGCACAGTTTGACCTGAAATTTTGTTTTTTTCAAGACACCAATTTTCATATTTCAAGTTTACCAATCATAACCCGAGTAGTTTTTTTCGTGAGCCGTGGCACCCTCTCACGCTGGAAAAGAAGCAACCCCCTGCTCACGTTCATTTAAATCCGAGAAATAATAAGGAATGTCATCGACTACGAAACGGCTTCTCTGATTTATCTCCGGGAGAGGGTATGATTTGCTTGGATACGGAACGAATTCTGAAGTCTTCGAGAAAGCCGTCCATTAGAATGATAAAAAGGGAATTAAAAAGTCTAATTTTCAAATCTGGGGGGCAGCTTTCTCTCTCTCCCCCTCTCTTCTTGTTCCCGCCCTGTATAAATACGCACCTGCTGAAGAGGGGATTTTATCCTAAAGGAGAGTGCTCAGTGACCGGGGAAATAGGGGACTTCGAAATCAGCTGGAATTCAATTTAGCGGGATGAGCGATGGAGAACATAGGGGATACTCCGGAGAACAACTCTAAAAATACACCAAGTATGGCTTTTTTTTTTATAAAATAACAGCCAAACGTATGACGTCCCGGCTGCTTGATCGTTTCTTTTGCGGTTCATGAGTTCGTCCTTTCAGTCTCTTTCAAAAGCAGTGGGAAACATGAGACTATGGAATCCGGAAAATATTAGACCTTGCCCCAACTTTCGGATGATTTTGATAGGATACCTTTGATAGGGTCATAGATCTGCTTTGCGTTTTCCAATTATTCTTTTGGTGCGCTGGAATAGAGAGTCGCTTGGATGTAGAGCCCAGACTCTCAAAAACATTGACAAGAAAAAATACTCTTGATTCAATCGGAATTTTTGTTCGAATCAAAAGGAAATACGCCTAAATCAATATTTATGCAGCTCGGCCCTTCGATTCAAGAAAAAATCGGATTGAATCAAGAGTACTTGTTTCTTGTCAGTGTTATTAAGAGTCTGGACTCTAGATCCAAGCGACTTTTTTTCCAGTGTGGTTGAATCTTACGGATCAACAAAAACCACGAAATTTTTCATGTATTTCTTCGGAGACTCGCTTTTTCGACTAAACTTTGTCCAGAAGGGAAACAGAAATCTGAATCTTTGAAAAAATGTGGGAGGAAGTCACCGTCACCCACTGTGATTTTTTGAGGAACTTTACTACTGTCCCCGTTGAACTGACTAAATCAGCGTATTACTCGTTGCTAATCTACAAGATTCAACAAGCGATTGTTTCTATGACACGCACAAACGAATCGGCTCATCGCTTCTCTGCAGCAGCTCGCTCGCTTAAGCTCCGGGAAAAGTTGGCTTTACACCTCCTCCAACTCCCATCCGGTGACAAGTCGAAAGAACATAACTCTACTTCCACGAGATTCCTGAGATTCCCGGAGTGTTACGGGCGGCAGGGTTCATGTCGGGGTGCTGTTACTCCCTCCGTATCGGGAGAGCAAGGAGCAGTTTGCATCCTGACTCGTCAAAGTAAATTTGCACAATGCGAGGGCAGAAGTGACAACGGAGTCAAGGAGAGACTTTGCAGTTGGAAATTGTTTGTTTATTCAAATTAAGGCGAGCTCTGTTAGTCGTCTTAAATTGAGTTACGGATCGATTTTTGCTCCCAATCACGTCTCGAGAGCTCGGTGGGCTCCGTAGATGAGCGGCCCCCCGAAACAACGAACGCATCGCGACCCCCTTCCCCCCTCACCGCTCAGTGGAGCAAGTCAATGGGGAAGTCCGGACATGATTTGGAAAATTTAGAATCTTTAATGATACAAAACGTAGACTTTTGGAAGTGGTTTCATAGGTTTTATCGTGATTTTTCCTTTAAGATGCTCACCCCTTAAAATGTGTTATGTGACAAAATGGACTGAAAAATTTGCAGTTTTCATAAAAAATTCCATTTCTAACCTGTCCCGATTTGTCGATCCATTGTGCGCCAACCCTCGTCGGAATTGATTAACGCGCTGTGGTGAGGAAACGTCAACAGTCAGACTTTAAAATTAGGAATACCCCTAACCCCCCCCCCCTTACCTGTGGTGGAGCCTGACGATTAACATATGCTGTTCAGGCTCTGCCTTAGTAGGTCAATAAATCGTCGTTTCCCTGTTCTAGCGGTGACGAGTCTCAGTGAGGCGCTTCTAAAACGCCTTCATTTTCCAGAATACTTCACGCACATCCGCGAAGTTAAAATAGTTGTATGTTCAGTCGTGTGTCAGAGACTATTTCCTTATTTTGATGTAATGTTTATGATAGTTTTTCTTCGCGCCGCAGGCGGTAAGCGTCACACGTTATTCTTAGGATTATATAAAAAAAGGTCCGTAAAAGAAAATAAATGTTTTCTTGAACCTCACTATATGACGCTCCCTTGCTGAATGACAAATAAACGCCACTGGTTTCAATTGGAACCATCAGCAATCTATACGACAGGTTTTATCACATGATAAAACTCGGGACTTAATTATGTGGTCAAGTGCTCGTCAACATTCGGGAAATTTTATGGTCAGTTAAACTTCGACCGGACATTACAGGTTGTCGTAACCGCTGAGAGTTGGAGGTCGCTAGCCTTCAATCCGAATATATCGTCACAATTCGGATCAAAATAGATGGATTCGTATGATATCGTATAAATGTCTTGTCTCATGATGAAAACTTTCGTGGCTCCTAGAGTCGTTTGATGGAAGTTATCGATTTCATCCCTCAGCTAGAGTCCCTTTATACTTAGAGTCAAGACAACACCCCCTCATGGAGTCGCAAACGGGAATAAAGATTACAGAAATTGAACGTTTTTTGTTATCTTTCATCGGCCCATTCTCAAATTCCTTTCTCCATTCCTTCTCTCGTTCCGTTTGTTCCTTGCCGAACCCGTAATTCCCTGGTCCATTCCAGATTATAATCTTTGCAATCGGTGGAAATGTAATCTTTATTCCCGTTTGTGACACGGTGGAGGCCTAAAATACGGGAACCAATCAGAAATGGATTCACATTGTCTTGACTCTCAGTATAAAGGGACTCTACCCTCAATCAAAACTTCAAGATTGTATCTGAATTTCAAAATTATCCACTAAGAGACTATGGTTTGCGTTTGTTTCAGGTTCAATAATGTTCCACGTTCGGAGGCGGCCGGCAGACTACCACCCGCGAAAAAGAAAGAAAAAACCGCAGCAGAAATGGAACCACCACAGCCCTAATAACGAGCTCCTGGACTACCGCTACGAGGATGCCTTCGATCGGTTACCTTTCTTCCTAGAACTCAACCCCGGTAAGTTGAAAGTTTTTTTTCCTCTTTGAACACTAGGGGTCCACCGCCACCCCCTTCATTTCATTTTAATCAGGAGACTCTTCCGCATTTCTAATTGAAAATTTCACTGATTTTTCCTCCGATTTCATGCAAAAATCGGACAAAATTACGCCAGACTTTGCCTGGGAACACCCTGTTACAAAATTGAAGTGTTTGAGTCAATTTTGCAACCTTGGAATGAAGTTACGTCCCTTCGCCAGAGAGACGACAAATAATGAGTTGATCGATACACGAGTGCATGCAGGTACATGCAAACAAGCAGCCGGTAATATTTTTACAGTGATCGCTGATTTCCCCCCCTTTTTTTCTGTTTTTTACATCGCTCCGACAGAAGTGGGGCACGGTTGCGGCAGCCAAGCATGAAGCACTTTCTCGATGACCTCTCGACCTCGTCGTGGGTATAGTCCCCGGGGAGGAGGGGGAGGGGGTGNGGGGGGGGGGGGGGGGGGGGGGGAGGAAAATTGAATGTCGACGAACGCATTTGATGAGAGCTCCCCAAGTGCCAGAACCCAGTGACATGCATGGGTGGGTAACCGGGGAGTTTATATACCGCGCTGAATAATGACCAATCGATCGGAGCCTCACTATAAAAACAAACCCAAGTCGCCCCTATCCGCGGATCTTATTCACCGTGCTGCTCTGTTCAGGAAAAACGCCGTATGAGCCTTCGGATGTTGCCGAATTTCCTCTTACAGGACACCAGGGTTGCCGGCGATCCGGAAAACCGAGAAAATTAGAGAATTTCTGGCACATCTATTAATCACTAAAACATATCACCGATCTTGCAAGTGTTTACCCTTTCCGGTCATCTTTTGACAAGCTACTGAATGCATTTTTCCATAGCATCGCGATGCAAGGAAACTTTGTCCAAAGTTCAGCAAAAGTCAGCCTAAAAAAAGGTGGAAATTTTTTTTGAAGGTTAACATAAGTCGTCGCTGCTCCGACGTTAGGGGGTATCTCGATTTCCACACGGAGAAAAAAATCTCGTGCACGGGACCCGAAGTTTATGTCATAGGGATCTCTGAAGTTTTCGGATTGAGCATCTGAACACTTTAGGTCTAGCTGTCGAGGTTCGGATCACACATCTGGAACTTCGGTTCTTACATCTGAAGTACTTCAGATGTGAGAACCGAAGTTTCTCGGATGTGAAAACCGAAGTACCTCCGATGTAAGAACTGAAGTTTCAGATGTGTGATCCAAACCTCAGCAGCTGGACCTAAAGTGTTCAGATGCTCAATCCGAAAACTTCAGAGATCCATATGACCTAAACTTCGGGTCCCACGCACGAAGTTTTTTTCTCCGTGCACATGAACCCTGGAAGGCATGGATTTATATGGACAATAGGGTTCTCGTATAGATCAAGATGCGCCCTTACGTTAGGGGAGTGACGAAGTCAGGGAATTTGAAGATGAAGAAATTATGGCAACCCTGTACAAGTGTACACGAGCTCTCGGGGAAATTTGGGAAAAAAACTTCTCCCGGTTTTCCAGAGAATTGTGTCCGTTATTCGATCTAAAGTATCTGAAAATTTTAATATAATGTATCCTTAACTTCCTTCAAAAATAATTATTACCTGAGAGGAAGTTTGGCAACATTCGAAAGTTCATACGGCGTTTTGCCCTACCACGGTAGTGTGGCGGTTTCCATCGATCGCCTCCCGATGTGTAATAAAAAATGCAATGCTAGGCCCTGCCCGCACATTAAATACCCGCGTGACACTTTTGGTGTGGTCATCGGTCAAAAATCCTGCGTGACTCTNGGGGGGGGGGGGGGGGGCTGGTGGTGGTTATGCAAGTTCGCTTCCACTTGTGAAGTTCACAAGTTTTGATGATTTATTTCTTCTCTAGGTAATAGGCCCTATATCGGTCGAAATTCCTCGAGTTCCCTCTGAATTTTTAAGGCGCTTGAACACGAGATGGACTACTTTTTACAATTTGGAATGAGGATTTCTGATTCGAAACCGCCTATATCTGAAAAGGAACTGGACGTATTTCTGTCACACGGAACTATGTGCATTATGACGTGAGCCCTGATATGCATATGTTCTCATGGGTCCTAGGGTTCATGTCGTAATGCTCATTGTTCCGTTTGGCAGAAATACGTCCAACTAATAGTACAAATGGACGTATCTCTGCCTAAGCGGAACCAGAGACAGGTGTGAAGAAGAGATGTGCTCGTTTGTCTAGAGCCGTAAGAGTGAATGGGAAATACAAAGCAACAGTGACATCAGCGGTGCGGACCGAGACGCGGGACAACTCGTGAGCCCTGTCCACAACGCTCTTGTCGCATGCCCACGGCTCATGGGTGCCGCATTCAGTTGGCACATAGTTCCGTTTGATAGAATGTAAAATCCCGCTTTTCCATTTCTTCGAAGGGAATTATGCCAACTTTTACATTGTTTCTAATCCACCTATCTAGAGCACACCCCATCTTACCCACTCGTCTATAGCTTTGTTTCTAAGAAACACGTCCATATGTAATTTCAATCGAAATTATCCGGAAATTTGAAGAAAAATATACATAATTTTCCTAAATAATGAATATTTTGTAAATATACAGATTTTGGCGACGATCCCACTTGTCTTTAGTTCCGTTTAGCAGAAATATGTCCGTATGTAATTTCAATCTAAATTATCCGAAAATTTTAAGAAAAAATATGCATAATTTTTCTCAAAAATTAATATTTTGTGAGGAGAGGGATTTTAGTGACGTCTGAATGTTCATCCGGCGTTTTTCCATACACTGGAAAAAAAAAAAAACACATTGGATCTAGAGTCCAGACTCTTGAAAACATCGACAAGAAAAAATACTCTTGATTCAATCGGATTTTTGCCTCAATCAAGAACCAAGCCTCGTAATTCGAGCGGATTTCCATTTGATTTAAGCTTGAATCTGATTGAATCAAGAGTCCTTTTTCTTGTCAGTGTTTTCAAGAGTCTGGACTCTAGATCCAATGTGTTTTTTCTTTCAGTAAATTATCTGAAAATTTTAAGGAAAAAGGTGCATAATTTTTCTAAAAAATGAATATTTTGTGAGGAGAGGGATTTTGGGGACGTCCGAATGTTCATACGGCGTTTTTCCATACGAAGACATTATCCGAGCGTGCGTTTTCTCGCCGCAAGGAAGAGCTCGTCCGAAGCTCTAGCAGTCTGAGTCTAATATTTGTAAGTAAAGCCATGTATTAACGAAATTAGAGGCTAGCCGCTTGCGTGCGGTATTTGCGGGCAGCGCGTGATTCCCTTTTGTTTGAGTGCAAGCTCTCGTCCCACCTGTCCTATCGATCCTGACCCGAGTCCGAGATGGATCGATGGCCCCCTTCCGGCTTCCGCCGATCGATTCTTCCCGGAGGACGAGACTATTTCCTTAAAATTAACGTCCGATACAAAAGGGATACCGTGGGTGTGTTTAAGGCTCCACACAAAAGAGATATATTGGGTGTGTTTAGGGTTCTACACAAAAGGGATATCGTGGGTTGGTGATCTCAACCGTTCCTCCAGCTCCCTCGCAACCGGACGTTTCGAACTTCGGAAAGCTCAGAGGTGGCGCCTGTTCTTTTTTCCGAAGGCTCGTGCTGCCGCGCTAAGTAAAAACGCCTATGATCATTCGAAAAACCTCTTGGTTCAAGAATGCAGTTTCTTGTCGCCGGATTTAAGAGTCTGGACTCTTGTTTCAATGCAAAATCCGCTTGAAACAAGAGTTCAAGACTCTTAAATCCGGCGACAAGAAACTGCACTCCGAAGTCAATGCATTGCGGCATTGGTCCAAGAGGTTTTTTTTTACCAGTGGCGGAAAGTAATCATTTTTGAAGAAAGTTATGAATGTTTTTCATTGCAATTTGAAGATTTTTTGGAACAAATTATAAACGAAATTCTGTGACAAATCGGAAGGGAAATAGGTACTATGATAATTTTTGGGAAATAGTGGGTCTGTTAATTAAATACGCATGCATTGAAAATAATTAGTTTGGCTGCGTTTAACGTGAAAGGCCAAGAGCCTCGGTAAACAACCGGTGTATTAATTAGTTACACTGAATAAAATGGTTAAAAAGCTTTTCAACCATTTTTTCCAGTGAAGCGGTAGGCTGAACTTTAATTTGATTCTATCGCAAAATTCGGTTTATCGCTAACTAAGGAGCAATTCCTCTGTTCCCCGAGAAACCCGATTCTTCTCTGCCGAATCGCTTTTCAACTCGCGTATTTGCATCCGAATTCCCTCCAGCAGTATGGTGAATGTCGAACTTACACTGGAAAAAAAACACGCTGGATCTGGAGTCCAGACTCTGAAAAACATCGACAAGAAAAAGTACTCTTAATTCAATCAGAATCTAGCTTAAATCAAGAACCAAGCCTCTTAATTTAAGCGGATTTTGTTTTGATTCAAGCAAAAATCCGATTGAATCAAGAGTATTTTTTATTTTCAATGTTTTCAAGAGTTTGGACTCTAGATCCAATGTTTTTTTTTTTCTTTTTTTTTTCTTCCAGTGTATACTGCCGTGCTAAGGAAGAACTCCGTTAAAAGTATTTTTCCTTGAAATTTCCATACACTTCAGATGAAATTACGAATACAATTATCTGAGAAATTGGAAGAAATATGTACACAAATATTCTTGAAAAATTTGAGATTTTGTCAAAGGAAATCTGGCAACACTTGAAAGCAAATACGATGTTTTCCCGCAAGACGACAGTATAGGTGTTTCACCAAACGGCCTCCTGGTTTTGCGAGCTTTGAGCGTGTAAGATTCCTGGAGGATGAAGGATTATCCGGCACGTTAAAGAGCGGCCTCTTTTGTTAGCCTCCCGAACTCACCCACACTGAAGAGTCCTAAAATGTATCGGCCGTATTTGATTGATGAGTGGATTCTCTTTTACGGTGGAGTAAAGAATCATCTCACTCGATATGCATTGAAGGTTCTTTCTTTTTCCCCCGCACGCGTTTCTGATTCCGTCGCTTGAAGGCATTTCAATGTCGAGGAGGTTTTTCTTCCTCCGACCTAGTTTTTGGGCCCACCCTATTTGAATTTCAACTCGACGATTTGTGGCTCATCGGAGATTCACATTATCCGGAATGCATCATGATTTGGTAATTCTTGTCTTTTTTCAGGCACTCTTGGCCTAGTACCAATTTTGCCGAAAAATGTGGAGTTCCTAAAAATTGTCCTTTCATGACAGAGGCGGATCTAGCAATTTGGCAACACCGGATTTCCTCCAATTAAACCTTCGTTAAATAATCGATTGTTGTCGGAGCACCTTACAATCGATACTTTTTCATAGGTTTAAATTGTTGGAGGGGGGGGGGGCAATGTCGCCAATTTGCTGGATCCGCTAATGTTTCATGCTGCTGTGTTAAGCACTATTCCTTGATCACAGTGTCAACCAGATTTTACTGAAGGAAAAATCTGTTCAATTCAAAGAACTGGTACGAATACAGCCCTTAGCTTAGCACCCTACCCCGGAAAAAAAAACACATTGGATCTAGAGTCCAGACTCTTAAAAACATCGACAAGGAAAAGTACGCTTGATTCAATCAGAATCCAGCTTAGATCAAGAACCAAGCCTCTTAATTTAAGCGGATTTCGTTTTGATTCAAGCAAAAATCCGATTGAATCAAGACTATTTTTTCTTGTCAATGTTTTCAAGAGTCTGGACTCTACATCCAATGTGTTTTTTTTTCCAGTGATGAATTGGAAAACGCCCTTAGCGTCTGAAGGAACGTTAGCCCTGTTCAAAGTAAAGTTACTTCGTTCATCGCGTCTATAACTGCAAAGGCAGGCGCGGCGTCATCACCGCGAGCGCACAGGAAGTGGCGTTGCAAACCGAAATAAATCTTGGCGAAGGTAGTAATGATGCAAATCCAGAAGATAATAGGAAGTGGGGGAGGGGGGTGTAGAGCCTGAAAAAACCGGGTAAGGAAACGGTTCGTCCTCCTCACTCGACGATACGAAACGGAACTTCAATCATGCGGTCCCGCCAAATGCGGATCAATAATATTCCATGCCTCTCTCGACTCACTTGAACACATGGTTGTCCGATCTCTACCGTCACTGGAAAAAAAACACATTGGATCTTCTAGAGTCCAGACTCTTGAAAACATTGACAAGAAAAAGGACTCTTGATTCAAGCAGATTTAAGCTTAAATCAAAAGGAAATCCGCTCAAATTAAGAGCCTTGGGTCTTGATTTAAGCAAAAATCCGATTGAATCAAGAGTATTTTTTCTTGTCGATGTTTTCAAGAGTCTGGACGCTACATCTAATGTGGTTTTTTTTTTCCAGTGTCCCTTTCGCGTTTCTTGTGTCCATTTAGTGACAAGGCTGTGGGCTTTTTCATGACCCAGTCTCTCATGATAATCAGTGTCTTTAGAAATCCTTTCCTCTCATGGCTCTGTTTCAACCAAGGCCGTAGACAACATAGCCTCATCTAAAATCCATATTTTTAATGGACTTAAATAGAGGAAAAACAATGTTGCCATCTCACAAAATGGCCACCGAGTGCGGTGAGCCTCGTGGGTTTGGCTCGTGGTCCTGGTGTCGGCCACCCTCTCACGGAAAGAAAGCGCCGATTAATAATTCAGTGACATTGATCCCGATATCAGCTATTTGTTCCGTTTATTGCGCCGCCGCACAGCAGAACGAGCTAATAGAAGAGGTTGGGCATGAGATGTTTGGCTAAAATTTGTTCGATATCTCGATGATTATTTAATTCTGATACAGATTCACTCCAACTCGAGACAAACACGGGAATTCACATCGGAAACCGCACTTTCGAAAAAAGTTCGAGAGAGACCTCGTACGAAAAACGAGTGCGAGAGATGGCAAAATTTAAAAACTCCTTCAAGTCTGAATGATACCACACGGGCCACTCCGAGGTTTATATAGTTGTATCACAACTTCCGCAAGTATCAGACGTTGACCACTGACATGATTGCCTGGTGCGTGCTTGCGTATCGCGAACATATTTTGGATTGAACAGATGAAACGTGCCTCTAGGCGTAATTGATTGGTTACTTTTTACTTTCTCGCTCCCCTAGGGTAGAGAGGAAGTATTGTCATCCTCCAAGAAAAAAAAGAAAAAAAAGTTGAATTTTTTCTTTTTGTCTTAAATGTAAAGGGAAACCATTAATTTGACCAAATTTATTCGGAATCTCGATGTTGACTAACTCCCGCTGTAGATTCACCAAAAAAAACAACATTTTTAGGTACACTTCTTCTGAATTTCTAACTCCCTCTATTCGACGACTTTTGTCCCTTTTTTAAACATTATCGTACATTTTTTTTTTTTTAAAAAAAAATCGTGTTTTAACTTTATCCCAGCGCCATGCTTAGATCCTAATTGAAAGCCAAATTTTGCAGTTTGATGAATCGCTTTTCAAGGCTCAGCTTGTCTTTGATTAATGGGGTATGATTTAATCGAACAGAGAGCTCCTACCTTCCCCCTTGTTTAAGCTCGGTCTGGTAAACGCTTAAAAATTCACCGATTTATTGATGGGTTGTCGCTCTAAGTTTTTTTTTTTATCCCGATACTCCCTTGCCGGCATTGTAGACGAACGTCAATCCTCTCAAGCTCGAATAATGTAAAGCGTTATTTTAGCGTGAAGATCTAATCGCCTCACCTTTAAGTTTTCTGACCCGCCAATATTAAAATGGAAGGCGACTCGTCGTTTATGTTCATCAAGAAATGTTTTGTCTAATCTTACTAAAATGACTATATGATAAAAGTGTGCGCTATTCATAGTACCCTTCTAGTACTCATGGTACTTTCTCTGCGGGCCGATTATTGAAATTGATAGACAAAGCTATAGATAAAGAAGGCAAAAGAGTTATGGAGGAATCCTATCGGTGGAAGCATGTGGTTGCAATGGACAAAGGAGGTAGATAATAGACTAACTAACGGCAACCCACGAGGGACCCTATAGTTAGTCCATCATTTCATCCGGTTGTCTATAGGAATCATATCATCACATCTATTTCAACCAGTAGGATTGCTCCTTACTCCCTATGTCTTCTTTGACTATTGCTTTGTCTATCATTTTCAATAATCAGCCCGCTGGTCTTATGGTACTCGATGGAGAAGTGCGAATATTTCGAAAGTCCGCAAGAAGGAACAAAGTTGGTTTTGTTTCTAAGTTCTCATTCGAGCTTATCAGAATAATCTTAGACGAGTACTAATGACACAACCTGAAGTTCAGATTCCGTACCGCATATTGGAAGCTAGTTCGAAGTTTTGAACTTAAAGTAATGCCGGTATCTCCACAGAACTTCGTTCAAGTTTTAAACCGAGATCATACTCTTGTTACGCATTGATTCTGTGCTCATTGGCCGTAAAACTGCAGGAGCCAGTATCTGGATTGCGACGTTTCAAAATTTCCACTCTCACTTCATTTTTTAAAAGGAAATCACTGAAAATTTTCGCACGAAATTTTTTCAGAATATTATTAAAAGAATAAAGGAATTTCACACGAAAGTAAAATGCAATAAAGAGAGCTAGTTTTTTCCGGAACACAATCTTAAAATTTGACAGGAAATCTGCAGCATCACAAACCTGGATACGTCGTTTCATATTTTCACCGGCGTTTTCCAAAGTACTGCCGTGCAACGCAAAAACGCTGTAAACGTCATTTTACATTTTTTGGAAACAATATATCAGAGCAGAAAAACTTTTGTAACCTTGGACAGTGCTTTTAAAAAAAAAATTTTGCAAATACTATCAAAAACTTAACCTGAGAATTTGAGATGCATGGGTAAAACTGTTTTTATTTTACAGAGTGTTAAGTTCCAAAAAACGAGGGAAAATCTTGATGGATTTTCGGCGTTCATGCCTAGCACGGTAGAGTACTCTTCCGAGTTTTCGCAGAAATGTCATTCTGGAAAAGCTAAAGACAATCTCATGTATGTGCTCTAAAATGCAGATGATGTCGCAGTTCATATTTTGTTTCTTTGATGTATTGAAGCAATTACAAATGGACCATCAGACAAGTGACGAACTTCAGCATTCTGATACATGTTTCTCAACCAAAATTGTACGTAGAACACGGTGCGCACAACGATAATTACAAAAATCAACTCCTTACGAAGCTATTCAATGATTCTTGATGCGTGAATTCAAACCACCCGCTCATGAAAACTCAATGCTCTACGTGATTCACAGCGAGCGGTAAACGTTATCATGTCAGTCGATATAAAAATCTGGCAAACTCAATCTTGACACTTTGGCTCAGCTATAGCAAATTGCTTATAGTTTGAACAACACATGGTGGGAAATGTATGTTGCTTGATTGAGAGGCTTGCTGAAACCGTTGTACTGCGCGATTTGACTCGCGTAGAGCTTTGAGTTTCTTGTGAGCGGGCAGTTCAAATTCCTCGTAACCAATGTGAAATAAAAACGTTAATATCTTCGTTAGGAGTTGGTTTCAGTAATTTTCGTTGCGCGAATCGTGTTCTACGTGAAATTCTTGTTAAGAAACATGTATCAGATTGTTTGAATTCGTACCTTGTCTAGTGGTCCATTGTCACAGACTGAAAACAAATTGAAAGAAATACCTAATAAATATTTTCTGGCTTGTCCTAAACTTTGGAGTCGTCCAACGTCGAGACTATCATCTTGGATACCATTGAACAAAACCAGGTTATTTTATTGTATCAGTCCTTCGTCCCTTTTTCTTCTTGTCTCCCTGCTGAGTTTTTCGTTTCTTTTTTTGTTTTCAGACGGTAGTGATATCGCAAATGGAACTCCAAAGAGACACAAACTTCATCCGAACGTAACGGAAGTTGGAAATGAGCGGGCATCTCCGCATAGTCAGTCACAATTTCTTCAATTATTCGGACCAAATATACAGCCTAGGCATTGTGTGATAGCTCATACGGAAGGTATTGTCACAGTGACGCCTTGCAGTAGAGATGCTGAGACGTATGTTAACGGACAGAGAATCTACGAAACAACAATTTTACATGTAAGTTATGAGCCTTTTTCACCTCTTTCCCAAATTATTTATGATGGAAATTGACAGTCGAATTTTCAGCAATACAGCTTTTTTAGAATCATAGCAGTAACTTGTGAGAAATACCCTTCCGTCTCGATCATTTGTGCATTTTTAATTTTTCTTCTTTTCAACTGTTTAATTTCTGTTCTATCTTAAGAATAGATCTGCAGTAAAGAAACGTCATGCGTTATCCAGTAAACTGTAAAATTAAATACGTAAACTTATATCTAATTTATTTTTTTAAAGTATGGCGGAGTTAACTTAATGACGAAATCCCTCACCCGAGGACCAGCTTTTGAAATCGGTGTACGCTCCTTGTTGGACAGGATGTCCTCACTAAGGCTAAGAGCCCAATTGGACTGCATTTTGCAATTTGGAACTATAAATTCTGGCTCTTCTGGAAAAACACTTATGTGCATAGGGAAACTAATGGCACATACGTTGTTTTTAAACTGGGCTAGAATTTGTAAAATTGTAAAATGTAGTCCAATTTACCATTCCCATGGTTGGCCCATGGGTTAATGGATACTTTCCTTCCGCGTCCAGCATACTTCACCAAATTTCATAGAGTGCTGAAAAATCTAAAGGGGTCTTGATAGAATTCTAAAGGAGAAATTTGTATTCGAAGGAAATTTTTCCCGAGACCCTAGGCTTATGCTGCCATGATGCAATACTATAAACGATTAATCAGGGGGTACTGTATAGTCTTACTTTAAATTTGTTTTACTTGAATTCCCATATTTATGCTCAAGTCCTTCAACTTACTTTCTTTCTTTCAGAATGGAGCAATAGTTAAATTTGGACGAATCCACAATTTTCGATTTTTGGATCCTTGTTACGAAGAAAGGACAAGGCAGAGATTAGATTCTTCAAGGAGCATTCATGATTATTCTTACGATAGGTAAGTTTCCGCAAACTGAGTTGCTGAAATGCAATTCTCTTATGTAGAAATAGTCCCTATGTCATGCCTGTAATGTAGTAGGATTTATCGTTAGTTGCCACCACGAAAAACTTTAAGTTATGTATTCACTGTTTGCCCAACGAAAATTAGACCCTCATTATTTCTTTCTTTTTTTTAAAAGTTCAAGTAAGAATTCTCGTTTTTTTGTTCAAAGTTTTTACTTTTTTCAACTAACACTGCCTTTTACTCTTTGAATTGTTGATATAAAACAATTCTTAAAATGACCGATAAAAAGACCACAGAATATCCAAAGATTTAGGGCCAGCTAAATTTTGACAGTATATGATATGATGTACCTCAACACCTTCTGAGGACAATAAGCTTTTAAAATCGAAGTTTCTAAGTGCCATTCTCGAGAAAAGCCTTTCCTCAGCCTTTTTGGGACAATTGCAATGTGTGTGCGTACGCTTCGCGGCACACCCTTATCGTATGGAAAAATTTGATTCTTTTTCTCTCTCATCTTTCCGCTCTAAAAGGAAATAAAACATTGCCTGGATCACCAATAGGATGATGCAAACTTTCTACTAGTTATTCCAATGAATAAATGCCAAATAATACACTTTTCAGCCCAGTTTTTCTGGAGATTGGCAAGTAGAAATCGACTTTATATGCTCATTGTGCTCAGAAGACCCTATAAAACATTACATGAAAAAAATATCAAAATTTAGCTGAAGCAGAATTTCTCGGTATTCCATGTAGTCCTTTCTGGTGCACTTCAAATTTTGATTTTGCCAATCGATTTCCCCGTCGCCATAATTCTGTCAGTTTTTCTGATATGTTATGGATGCATTTTCTTTTAAAATAGGCAACTTGCCATGCACACCATCATAGAGAACTATTACAAGCTTTATATACATACATGCCATCACTTCTCATCCATTTTTTAGAATAATTTAAAACCTTTTCAAATAATGCCATCCCTTGTTTATGTTGGCTTTGAATGAGCGAAACCATCATCCATTCGTATTTTTATCATCACTCATCATCCATGTGTCACACTCATAGTCTAAATGGATTTGCGGGGTTCCAATTGTTTTTCTCTTGCCATCAGCAAGTTTTCAAATAACGTTAGCATGATCGTCTAGATTAGCAGCTTGTCCTAGATTTTTCCTTTCACTTTCCCTTTTTAACATATTTTAAATTTATATCAGGTTTTAATTCGTATTATTTTGAATATTTAAATTATTTTGCAATTTTTACTGCTCTTTTTTCATCATTTTGTCTCATTTTATACCAGTGTATCTTATCTATCTAACCAGGCCTTTTTTGAGCGACCATTGCCCTCATTTATAGATAATGAGGTCACTTAAATCAGTCCTGTCAGCATAATTGCGGACTGAGTAACCCAACTTTTCTCCCTCCCCTTTTTCAATTTAAATTGAAGAAACCGAAGGGAGAGCTAGTAAGAATAAAATCCATGTTAAACTTTTCCTGGAGAAATAAAATCAGCAGTTGGTTAGCAAATAGATAATTTAGATACTTAAACTCATGTTACTTACTTTTGTCCTTCAATTTTAAGTTAAAGACAGGATTAATGTCTGTATTTAAGGCTCAAGCATTTCACAATTGAAGGTACTTACTTTCCTTTGACCTTGTCGTTAAAGGATCATCCTTCCTTTGTTCCTCTTAAAAGGCCATGTTTCCTACAAGAAACCGCAATGGATAGAAAATAGAGTGGCCATAGATCGGCTATCGATCCCCATGGCCAGATTGGCTGTCAGGATGGGCCATATATTAAATGAATTACCGCTGCTGACAGACCTAGCTTCAATTATCAGGATTTTTGTACTTGCTTACTCTTTGGTTTTATTTTATTTCTTCTCCGGTCCTGAAGGCAAGTTCATTTGTGCAACGCAGCAAAGCACCAATTTGCTGCAAAGATCACCCGCACAAAATTGTCCATTGAAGACACGGTCTAATCTCCAGGCATTTCATTTAACAAACACTTTGATTATTTGAGTCATTTCAATCACAAGTTCCTTTACAACTTTTTTAATTCAAATACTAGGCAAAATTTCTGAGCAAATTTTTATTTCTTTTTTTTTTTAAACCTAATTTTCATTTTTACTCTCATTTGTTTACCCGTTTATTTCTTCTTTTTTTTGTATATCCTCAGTTGATTTTTAGTTTTGCATGTCTATATGTTTTGTTCAATGTTTGCACCCTGCTTTGTTGCATCGTAGGCAATCATCGCGAGAAGATACCAGTAGCATAGCAAGTCCTGACAATAGGAGCGCATCTGTTCAAAACCTCGACACCCCTACATCAAATCCACCCCACAATTCTACAGCACAAAATTATGAAACCACTTTCGATATTGATGGCAACGTTGAAACGAGGTCAACATCGAGTCAAGGCAATAAAGATGACAATAGGTCTCAAAGATCTGTCAGTAGTAGCAGAGAAGGAAACAGGTACTTCTTTTTTTTTTCGCAAGAGATTTCGCTCTCTCTTCTTTTATTACTCAAAACCTCATCTTTTGCCATGCAAGATGGACTGTTTGGCATCCATCATATCCAGTTTTGTCTCACTACGGATAGAATCCTTTCCAGAAAAGTAATAAAATTTTGTGTTCTTTGGCACATATGTCACTTTCTGGTCAATGGTCACATTTCTGAATAGATCCTTCAAAAATTTTATATTTTTCAGACCAACACTCAATTTTTATTCATTTGAGCATTTGTTAGTTTCTATCAAATAACCTTTTTTTTTATCATGTTCTACAGGCACCCATTAAACTCTTCTAAAAACATTCAAGCCTCTTGGAACATTTTATGAGGACTGACAATATTTATATTTGTTATATACTTGAAATGGTCTGCTTGTCAAATGTTTCCATTCTTTAAGTCCCCTGTAATATTTTTGTCATACCTTTTCTGTAATATTGTATTGTTTGTTATTTTTTCAGGTTATCAAATAACTACGATAGGTATCCAAGAGGTTCAGATGCTATCTTACCGGCTGTGTTAGAAATTAGGGAAGAAACAGAAGAAGCCTTATTACATGCTTTAATAACATACTTTGAGCCAACATCACCAAATTTCATATTAGCACCAGCTTACACGCTTTATCTAGTCGCTCGCTTCCGAGCGTCAACACATTACCGGCCAGAACTTACGCCAACGGAACGTGCTCATAAACTTACTCTAATGCTAGCCAAAGTAGCCGCTATGATCCATAATATTATTCAAGTAAGTAAAGTGCAACGATGAATCGTGTTCATCAAGTGACCTTCATCTTCATTTTATACATTACCGCTTAAATCTTTCTAAACTTTCATACGAATTTAACCCTTCATTTGAATGTTAGTCACAAAATGGGAGTTGATAAATATGTCAAAATTTGTGTATTTAAATATATTCTTATGTGGTGCAGCCAAAACATACATATTTTTAATAAGTTTGCAAGTAAATGAGGAACAAGGGAGCCACTATCATGAAACCTGATTTAAAAACCTGACCTGACTTAAAAACTTGACAGAAATTAAGCTAATATCATTGCATTTTTCATTATGTAAATTCTGTGGTTAGTCTTTGTTCAATCTGTCGTGAGAGTGTTATAAAAGTCACTTCCACCCACAGGATTTAAAGTCAATGAAATGACCAAAACTTTAAACTTTTGACTACTGCTTACAGAATTTGATGTTTAGTTCATAAAATTGTTCCATATCTCTTTAATAAAATTTTGTTTCTTTTTCTTTTGCTTCGCAATATCAGGAGCAATATTGTGACGTTAAGTCATTGGCCTTATGGCTTGCAAATTCTTCCGAGCTCCTTCATTTCCTGAAAATGGATCGACATATCTCTGCTTTCTCTCTTGAAGCGCAGGATACCCTCTCTGATGCTGTACAAATTTCCTTCAGGTAAGTCGTGATAATAAAACATCATTTTTTATTGCAAAAATTATCCTGCCAAATCTTATTGACATTGTTTTAAGATTTTAAATGCCATTTTTTCCATCTTGAACTGCTATTGGCAGCTTTTTTGAAGTCACGCATATTTTCCTGAAGATCCATTAGACTGAAATTAAATTAAATTGTAAAAATCCACGGTAAATCAAGTGTTTCACCATGAAGTTGAACTTTTCATATCATTTATGAGGAAATTAACCTCTTTAAGAACTTACAACCTTCACCCAAGTAAATAATTTCTCAGTTGTCAAATTTGCTTCTCGGTAACAATCAGTAAACTATTCTAAGTTCGCCATTACTTATTTCTTAACCAAGTTAATTTCTGTCATTGATCATTTTTTATTAAATTTTCAGACATTTGGTCTCTTGTCTGCAAAATGAACTAGCAACTGCTTTGCCCAACTTTTTATTAGACCATGATGATCTCAATCATGAATCGGATGACTCAGCTACATCATCTGTAAGTATTTCCCTATTTATTAATTAATTTTTTTTACACAGGGGTCTCCACATGATATCCAAAAGTTAGAGTCAAAATAGATGATTTCTATTCAGATTATACAGTAGATTTCTAACCGTCGCTGTTAAAGGCATATTCCTACGGCCTGCAAAGCTGTGTTACGAGCTTCGTAAGATCAGTGTAATCAGCACTGGCCACTTGTGATTATGTGGGGAAACAATTTTATGTTTGTAATGTGGCTTTCTGAGCGGTATAGCGTCCGAGTACGCCTTCAGCTCCGTTTCCCACGAATCTTCTTCAGAATGGATTAACAGTTGCCAATTTTATTTAAAAACAGACTTTGGTGGCATTATGTAATGGCAATTTTTTCAAAATGCTACAATCATTAGTAAATATATTACACACTTTCTCTGTTGATTTCATGTATCATTCCTGTTTTTTTTCATCCTGCAAGGATCTCTGGATGTTTACACAATTTACTTTTATGCATACAAGGAACAAGTTTTTTAAAGTTGAAATTCAAAGTTTCAGAAAAATCTGTATGTGGTTGAAAAATGGGGTCAATTCAGCATCTAAAATGGATCAGTTGCGCTGGTCACAGAATCGTGTTTTGATACTTGATTCTTGTGGATTAGTTAAACATAATAAGATCTGTTCAAATTGTAATTTTCTATGCTCAATATTTGCCGAGATATCGCCTTTTGAAAAGTCAGGTTTCTGATGTCATCCACTGCGGTGATGACACCCTTGGTTTCTTCCACCTTGCTCTCATCTGAGTTTCACGTGGAGTAACCAGTGCAAATGTGCGCCTTACTGACTGATGAAAGCAAGGTGGAAGAAACCAAGGGTGTTACTACCGCGGTGGATGACGTCAGAAAACTGACTTTTCAAAGGGTGATATCTTAGTTAATATTGAATGTAGAAAGTTGCGGTTTGGACAAATCTTATTATTATTAGCTAGTCTACAATAATCAAGCATCAAAAACGATTCTATCACCAGCGCAACTGACCTATTCAGCACCTAAAATTCTTTAATGTATGATGTGTATTTTTAATTTCTGTGCTGTGCACAGCAATCTTTGAACTATTTCTGTTTCTATTTTCAGGTGCTGAGTATTCTCGCTTCAGCAATGGCTCTTCAAAGGAGATGCCGTGTCAATGCCGCGCTTACCATTCAATTGTTCTCTCAACTCTTTCATTACATCAATGTTTGGTTATTCAATAGAATTGTAGCTCCCAATTCAACGTATTGCACCAGGGTGTGGGGCGCTAGGCTAAAACATCGTTTGGGACAGATTGAAATTTGGGCTGAAAGACAGGGACTGGAACTAGCGGCCAACTGTCATTTAGCTCTAATCAAACAGGCAGCTCATCTACTACAGGTAAGAAACCGAAAGGTTTGTCATTAAAGCCTCCTCTGGAAGTCAAATAAAGCTAATCTTAACTCATTTTCATTTCAACCATCTTTTTTTTCGCAAAATGAAATTGGAATCTAAGCCAGTGAGCACCTAACATATCAATAGTTAACATAAAAAAAGCATATCTCCAATGTAACGTTTAAAAATCTCTAATAAAGTTCAACCTTTCCAGAAAAAGCCTACCAAAAGATCTCTTTGATATTTTTTCTAATTTTTTTTAAGTGAGTGAAAAAAATCTATGGCATATTGGTTTTCTGAAAAAAAAAAAAGAAAAAAGAAAAAACATAGCCTGAATAGAGGCTTTCAATCGAAGAAAAGCTTTTGGCGACTTTTGCTATTAATATACTCCTACCAAAAATAGAGTAAGTTCACAGTGATTTATTCATCACTATCAAATATGTGTTAATAGAAGAAGAAAAGCAAAGTATTTATTGTCCTAAATAGTTCAGCTCGGTAATCCTTAAAACAACTTTCATCATACTTTCCAAATAAGGTCCAATACTCATTATCTTTTATAAAACACATTCCGCTTTTTGCCTTGTGAATTTCATGTATTTATACTAAAAGGAACTAGGTCCATAGGGTTTACATGCAACATAGTTCCTTTTATCATAAATGCGTCCAATTGTGATGCTTACATATTACTGTTTTCAATCTGTTTGTTGTGTTTAATGGATTAAACACAATGATAGGTAAGCGTCCTCAGCAAAAATTAAAATATACTTAATAAAATATTGAAGCGTGTCAAATACGAGTTAACAAATATCATTATTTTTCTCTCCTCTTGTGTTCTGTCAATAATGACGTGCTCTCATCCAATTTTTCAGGCTCCTAAATACACAGCAGAAGATCTATCAACACTTAGTCCAGCATGTTTCAAATTAAATTCCTTGCAGCTGAGGGCACTGTTTCAGAAATACCAACCAACGCCTTATGAAGGAAGGCTGCCCCATGATCTCATCGACAATGTGGTGAGGGTAGGTTTCTCCTCTTCTTTTACTGTCCTTAATTTTAAGTTTCTTCATTGGCAGCATTTTATCAGCCATCTTTTTTCACAAGGCTAGTAAATTTCAACGATGAAACTGCAGCAAAAATGGCTACTTTGTTCGGGATTTATCAAAACTCTGCCACCATTCTACTTTATCGAAGGAGAACAAACCAATGGTATTATATTAAAGCTTCATTGATTCTCCTTCACTGTGAAGATAAATCCAGAAGTTGTCAAGAAAAAATGTTGAGTATTCTTCCATTTGAAAAACAAAGTATAACAGGAAGATTGCAACATTGATAAAACAAGGTACATGTTTCTGCAGTTTCATTGTCGATGTACTATTTTTAAAGATGGTCCTAGTCTTTCCAGATTATTTTAAATTTTTTTGAAACTCTGACATTTTTTCCTTGCATCAAGTAAGGCCAGCAGTCATATAGTATTGTGTTTTATGTTCTATGAAAATATTACCATTTCTTGTATCTTCATAGCATTCCTAACTAAGGTATGATGATATAAAAGCCAATACTCAAGATGTGGCACCTTGAGTACCTATGACTCTTGCATGCAGTACACTCCTGATGTATGGAAGGTGGAAACAACTTCTTGGTTTGTTTACTTCTGATAACTCTCCAGATCCCTTACATACTTTTGCATGAAATTCAATCTGTGTGGTTTTATTTGAAAAATCTCGAGGTCATATCCAAATTCTAAATCTGTTTTAAAAACATAAAAATTACAGCAACAAACTTTTATGATTGAATTGACCGCCTTCTTTTAAATTTTTTAAAACCAGGTCTCATAATTTTAAAATATTTCATCCCAAAGTTTTTCAAGTATACTTTTTAAAGAGCCTTTTCCTTTCTGAGCCGTTGACCAAAGTATATTATTACATTAATATTGTAAGTTCCAGGAATGCAGTTTAAATAAGACAAGCATGGAACAGTAATCATTTTTTTGCGAACCACAGAACCATCATCATGCAGTTTGAACCAAACATCATGGTATTGAATAATGGATGATTTTTGTTAGCAACCATAGAAAAGGACTTAAAAAATAATTATTTTTTTTGTAGGTGGCAGAAAATCTTGCTGATGAACTAGCAAGGTCAGATGGACGAGAGGTGAAGCTTGAAGAAGACGCTGATTTACTGAACACCACATTCCTAGTCCCAGACGAAGGTTATACGTGTGAAGTAATTCGTGGAGTGCCACCTGGGTTAATTGAAACCTTAGCTCCTTTCCAGCATGCTGGTTTATGCAGATTATCGGCACAACCTGCGTCCAATGGACTATGGACAGTTTATATGAATGTCAATCCAATGCAAGGATCAATGGTATGTACTTTGACCATCTGCTTATATTCTCAAACAGGAAAAAAAATCCTTTGTTCACTAATAATCAGTAGCGTTTCGATCTCACAACTTCCATCATCCTCCAAACCCATTTATATCTTAATTCGGAGAAGTTTCCCTCATTGTTTTCAAATTTTCACTTCAATTATGTAAGCTACAATACAACTTTACATGTATTACTGGAATGTGTGGAGTGGCAGACTAATCAATGATCTACGCAGGAATTAGTAAAATCTTATTTGCGTAGTAGATCACGAGACAGTGTGGGAACTAGACCTCTGAAGGACATGTTTCAATATCAAAATTTCTTGTAAAACGCCATGAACCTATAGAGAAATTAAAATATTATCTTATTCAAGAAAAATTAATGTATTTTGTTCATATTTAAAATGACATTTTTAAACTTTCCCGTCGCAGAAAACCATAATTAACAGGAGTAGGTCAATGCAGTCATTGAAAACACTTTTATGTCTAGCAAATAACTGAAGATTAGTTTCACATATGTCGCCTTTTGCATCTGATACATGTCATAAAAAATTTAGCATTCAGGAGAACTCTCCCATCACAAAATAACTAAAATTAGTTTATGGCTTGATTCGACTCAAGTAGACTTTGGCGGAGACGAATGTAGGCACACAAGAAATGATTTTACTATTATTTCGAACATTTGAATACATCCATCGTGTTCATCGCAAAATTGCGGTGTGGGAGCATTTCGTGGTACTAAATTTGATTTCTGTCTTCGAGTTTTTACAGCTGATTATCTTTAACACTAGAAAAACATTATTTTATCGAATATTTTTGGTTGTTTTTAGGCAAGGAGTCCCAGTGCAATGAGCAATAGGTCAGGTCGGTTCATGCCAACGCAGCAAGAGCCTGACATTCAAATAATCAAGTTACACAAATCCAATAATGGAATGGGCCTCAGTATTGTTGCCGCTAAGGTAAGCTGCTTCCGAAATTTCTATCTCATCTTTTCTCCTGCCAATTTGAATCGCCAATCTAGCCCGAATATTTTTTTATTTTTATCTCAATGCAGAGACAGGGTTGCCGGCAGTCTGGGAAAAGTCAGGGAATTTAATATCTTTAGTAGAAGTGAATTAATTTAAAGGGAGAAAAAAATGAAAGTGGAAGTTTTATTCTAATGTCAGGAAATCCGAAAATGTAGGAGTTGGAGAAAATTGAAAATAGTCAGGGAAGTGGAAGGTGAAGAAATTATGGCAACTGGCAACCCTGAGAGATCCCTGCAAGTCAGTAGTGAATTCAGATTTCAGAATAGCCATTTAAAGCCTCAAGAAGCTAAAAGCTTGTCTAAATCTGTCGAGTTGATTCAAAATTGCAGACATCCTCTTGACTCTGAGTAAACTGTATATTACGAGACATAAGAGCACCATAGGGTGAAAGTTATTACAGTAAGCTAATAAAGAGTCATTTCTGATTAGCTAACACGAGCCCAGCAGTTACGCTCAATTACTATCATGTGTTTTATTATGCCTCCTCTGTTCTATGCGTTGCTTTTTTTGCTTTGCCAAGCATGAAGAGTTGATTTCCATCACAGAAGGTAATCATGTTTAACAGTGCTCAGAAGGGAGGAACTGATGAGAAATGTTATTCTTTTATTGTTTCTGCAGTGATAATTTTGAAACCTCACTCAGACTGACCCTGGATCTTTTTGTGAAATCCTTTTTTTTCAAAAAGGATTTTATGTCCGTCATGACCATTTGTCTGTGGGTTGAATCTCTACTTTGTGTTGGATGTAAACTATAGAGAAGTTAGCATGCGAATTGGCGCAAAGAATATTCCTCTCTCTCTACGCATTTGGTCAGTATTTTAAGATCGAATTTTGTCGTGAAGAATGGGCGTGCACAAATGTATTGTTCCTAAGATGAGTTACGACCACTCCTAACACCGTTCTAGGGCTTCTGATTGGCAGGCGGTGCAGTTTCAGCTTATCAACAAATGTTAAAAAAGCCGAATAAATTTAGTTGGTAGTAAAATATAAGTTTTTGGGAGTTGTGTTCATACTAACATGTGTGAAGCAGTGGCGGTTCCAGAGACAGTTTAAGGGAGGAGGGCATTTGGCGATGTCGAATGACGAGTTCTGCGGGCCGTCCTTTGAAATTTTGTGTTTGTCGGGCGGACATATATGACATAGATTAAATGGCAGAGCGTGATTGGTCGGCCATGTTTTATCGTTGTTTTATCGTTGTTTTGTCGTGCCTTTGTCAGGTGGAATTCACGAAAAGCTAAAGGCACCTCTTCCGCAGTGTGCGGTTCATTCCATCTTATCTATGTCCTCCCGGCATACACAAAATTGAGGAGCTTTCCGGAAAAAGGGCACTTAGCAAAAAATTGCGTTTCAGAGAAATGCATTTGAAGTTTTGATCATTACTCTATGGCCACTAACAGTGACTTTCGTTCGAAATCGGGAGTCCAAGCTGCGATGAAAGGTACCATCAGTGGCCAGAAATTAATGATGGAATCTTAAAATGCATTTTTCTCAAACGCTATTTTTTGCTGTGTGCCCTTTTTCCGGAAAGCTCCTCAATTCAATAATCGGCCCGCTGGCGTCTTAAGGCCTAGGGGAGTCTGGTAGGCCCTCCAGAAAATGTCCATATATACGGGCCTAATTTTCAGCTTTTTTGCCCCGAAGTGCAACATCTGTTAATGCGCCAAAAATTCACCGCCAACCAATCAGAATCCCCAGAACGGACTGACTCACCCCAGGTACAGCACGTCCATCCTTCCCGACAAAATTCGGCCCTAGAGCACGAACGCAAGCTATGATGCACGTCCATTCTTCCCGACAAAATTCGGCCCCAGGGCACCAACGCAAGCTATGATATCATACTCCGCATCGCGCACTCGACGCTGCGGTAACTTTACACGCAAGCACGCGGTTTCCCGGCGGGCGCGCCACGCGTCCGAGAGATTTCCCGCGACGCCCGGTCGATAAGCTCCAGGCGAGCGGAGCAACGGATCTGGAAGATCAAGAGCGTCGACTAGAAAGTTGATCCGGGGACGTGTAATCATAGCATTCACAGCGCGGTAGCCACTGCCACTCGGCCGCTTTACCATACGGAGGACGGGTTTCGTCGTCTCGTCGACTGCGCGGGTTTTCAGCGCTCCGCTCGGCTCGTGCTTATGACGATACGGTAATGGGCGCCCGATAAAACCCGCACCCGCCGCCCCCCGCGATGATTTAATGGTGCCTGTCTTTAGTCTTTACTCTTTACTCTTTACCCGACGGCTCTTTCGTAACCGACACGCGTTCACGCACTGCCAGCCCTTGTCTCGCCGTCCGCCTCTCTCCTCCTCCTCTTCTTCTCTTTCTTCTTCTTCTTCTCCTTCTTCTTCTCCTACGCCTCCTCTTCCTCCTCCGCTGCTCGTGTGCGCACTCAAGCGCCCTTTTCCGTTCGTGTCTGGATATGATCTCTTGTTGTCATTTCCAATTCCTTGCACTAATAGAGGATATCTACAATCAGCAAAAACCGGAAAATATCAGGAAATTTGATGTCATCGGGATGCCAACTCCTCGAAGGGCTTTGGGAGGACAGGGGACTTTGGCGGCTAGGTGTCGCAGAGCGCCAGAGAGCGCTGTAAAAACGGCTTCATATGTAGGTATGATGTCGTCAAGAAAAGTCAGGTAAAAATCAGGAAAGTTGGTCACAGATCAGCAAATTCCGAGAGTGTTAAGTATTTTAAAATTCCATGTAGCTAGACATTTGCAAAATCGAGACATTTCGGTGGCAAAACCATGTGTCCCCATTGCCGTGTTTTGAAATTTCGGCCCTTTTCTATTTTTTCGAAGAGAAACAACCCGACTTATATCTTGAAATTTATTCAGGATATTCGTCCAAAAGGAACAATCAGTAAAATAGAAATCAGGAAGAATCAAGGAAATAGAAATAGAAAATTCAAGATCTTTTAGTTGACACCCTGTCCATCCACTTTTAGCGCGAGCCTGGCCAACTTCAATCGTCATCAGATTCAAGGTGCCAGAACAGTGTCAATATAACCACCATTGATTTTGCGAAAGCCGCAGATTTTGCTGATGGTGGCTTTTCCTCCTGACGCCGATGGCGTGGCGCACGACGCGCTTTTCTCGAAAGAAGTCCTCAGATCCGCCAGTTGCCTGATCGTTGAAATTGATAAAGAAGTTTATAGACAACAAAGGCAAATGGGATATGGAGGGACCCCATTGGTGGAAAGCGGGGAGGTTCCATTGGACAGAGGAAGTCGTAATCGACTAAGTAGAGGCAACCGTCAAGAGTCCCTTTAGTTAGTCCATCTTTTTCCCCCTTAGTCTGTGAGAACCACTAGTTACAACCAATAGGATCGCTCCATCCTCCCTATGTCTTCTTTGTCTATAGCTTTGTCTATCAATTTCAATAATCAACCCGCTGATTCGCCAAAAGCATCTTCTTCGAACGGCGCGTCCCGTCGGGATCCGGAGGAAAGCGTGAGCGGCGATCCCCGATCCGCAAGCTCTGTTTCCGTCGGTGGCCCGAGGCCGTGGAGTAAAGTCGAACTTGGCGGGAAGCGGACCGAAACGGGTCGAGTCGTTCGGGGTCATCGGTTCGCGCCGAGGAACCGCGGATTCGCGAGCCCGGCACGCGTCGTGTTGAGCCGCGCTCCCACAGACAGCAAGCGACGCCGCACTGGAAAAAAAAGAACACATTGGATCTAGAGTCCAGACTCTTGAAAGCATTGACAAGGAAAAGGACTCTTGATTTAATCAGATTTAAGCTTAAATCAAAAGGAAATACGCTCAAATTAAGAGGCTTGGTTCTTGATTTAAGCTTAAATCTAATTGAATCAAGAGTCCTTTTTCTTGTCAATGTTTTTAAGAGTCTGGACTCTAGATTCAATGTTTTTNTTTTTTTTTTTTTTTTTTTTTTTTTTTTTTTTTTTTTTTTTTTTTTTTTCTCTCTCTTCCAGTGCGCCGCGCCGAGTTCGCCGAGCGGGTACAAGTGCAATGAATATGAACGTCTTCCGTAGTACCAAAGGAAGCAGTAACGTGCAAAGAACGCCGCATACATTAGCATGAAATTCGGCGTCTGCTAAATTTTGAGGTCTTTTGATGTGATTTTCTTTACGATCTCCTGAGTGAGATGAGTTTTTAAAATCAAACTTTTTATCTGCCGGTCTCGAGAAAATCGGGTCTGAAAATTGCATTTTTCGGCAGTTTTACACCTGCACCAATAAGTGAAAAAGTGTTGTTCATCGAAGAGGCAGCTCCTCTTTTCGCGTCCAACTCACGATTAGAGTACCTGTATAACGAGAGTATGGACAGATGTGAAACTCCAAAAGTCCATCAGGCCTTCACCGATGCTTCTGCGAATAAAGTTAGGGCCCAGAAATGCAGCCAACCTATGAATTGCAATTATCCAGAACGATTTACTAATACTATCGTTACGAACCGTCGTTTATACAGCACGTATTTGACTCAGTTTTTGCATAAATTTACTCATTTTTGCGGATGAACGCTCATTTCTGTACATGCTTGGCCATCTTGGTTAGAATTAGAATCTGCAGATTCTGCAGACTGGCAGTGAAATTTTGTTTGTTAGAAGTTGGTCAGATGGATGACTGCTTTTTTGGGCCCTAAGACCTCCATGAAGCGATCCGTCCATACTCTCGCTATACAGGCACTCTACTCACGATCAGTTCAAAACAAAAGGCTTGGCATCTTAGACTTAGCGACGGCCTCACTTCTCCGCATGATGACACGTGTTGAATTGCCGAAAAATCCACTTTTCAGACCAGATTTCCTTGAGATTGGTACCTAGAAATTTCGATTTCATAAAAGGAGATTGCAAAGATTATCATATCAAAATACCTCTAAAAGCCGGCGTCGAATTTCCTGTTGTTTAGTCCCTTTCGAGCAAGTTCCGAGTAATTTCTTCCGGTCGCGCACTGCTCGTGGAAGCGAGGCTTTATT